GGGGGGGGGGGGGGGGGGGGGGGGGGGGGGGGGGGGGGGTTTCACTCCACCATTACAAATTTAAACAAGCTATTTAAATTCCCCTGGAGTTTGGATCAGATCAAAAGAGGTGGAATCAACAATTTGGAACAGTGCCTAGTCCTGCTGATGGGAATTTGAAGAGAATTACTGTCGATTGTCGGACCCATTTCTAATGATTTCCTCGGCTTTCCCTCAATAAAGTGATTCGGTAAAATAGCTTGAACTAGTTCTTACTTCATAGTGCCTTTAAGGGAATTTTGAGCAGACACAAGTTGAAATACTTACGCATCCCATTTCCCATTGCTCCAAATTGATTATGAATTTGAAGGCTTTTTTGGGCGTAAAAGAGATGTTTCCGATGTAAGAAAATGTAAAATGGGAAATAGTTCCCCCTTTAACATGGGAAAACACGAAGCAGTAGCAAGCTTAGTTTTCTTCTTTTCGAGTGAGTTGCTTTTGAACTTTTTGATTAGTAGATTATTAATAGGCATTTAAAGAGGGAGATAAGTATCTTGCCTTACATGTGTTATGACTGTCTCGGGATATTCCAATTCGTTGGTATATAGAAGCATGAGCATCTATTGGGGTTCTGAAAATTGGAAGATGTTGCATTGATTTGGGATGATGCATCTAATTATCCTTTGATTTATCTTCACTAAGCTTTCTATTGTACCGCCTGCAACCTGCCTCTGTACCCAAGAATGTCACCAGTTCCAGAACCTGTAACAATTGAAGTAACATAAAATATTGCAACACTTTGCTAACAATTTTATCAATCTCTCTCCTATTGAGAATCCACTAAACAATCAAGGAAAGGCAATTGAAGTTTAGATTGAAGAAGGGTTGTTGAAAGCATATTCACTACGTTCATGTAATTATCAAGGTCATCCATTGTCACCCTTCTGATTGGGGCCCATGCTTTTTCTTTCAAATGGAAAAATAGAATAAAGTATAAACCCAAGTAAGTGGTGTTGAATTCCTCTTTTCTGTGTAAATGATGGGCCATAGACTTGATTTCACTGTTTTGCAAAATTAGAATAAATTAGATTAGGTTTCTATTCCCCGTGTTTCGATTCACTTGCCTTGGCCACAAATGTCTGTGTGCTTTGCTTATTACCTGAGGAAGAAGTTCATTGCAATCAGGCCTAGTCGATTCTTCACAACGACTCGAAGACGAAAGCACTTTTTCACAGCCTTAGCGGACAACCTATTTCTTAACCTGTCATGGTTTAGGAATGTGCGGCAACTTCGATTAATTTTTTATCAAGGGATCCTTTGTGTTCTCTTCATCCAGCGAGAGGTGATTCCGGGCGGTGGAATTCTTGGTCGAACTCTCACGGATTGGACCCGAAAGCGGGGCAAAAAGCATGTCTCCTCAGGTCATCGCGATATCACCGAGAGTGTCAGCGAGGCTCGCAAACGCGCCTCTCAAGCTGCTGCTGCTGCTGCTGGTGGTGGAGCAGGAGGTCCCGGTGGGGGGGCCAACGGACCCTCCCAACCCGGAGTCGTTGGGATGCCTGTCATCCAGGTCACTGCTGCCCATCCTGCTGTCATTGCTGTCGCCAATCTCGGTGATGACAGGTAACATTCCACTTCTTTTACAAGCGTCTTTTCCTTTTGGTTAGGAAAAACAAATCTCTCTTCATGCAATTAGAAGTCGCCTTTGGTTAGAAACCGGAAGGATTGATAAATAATGCTTGCCAGATATGCCCCCACTTGATCCTCGTAGTCAATGAGTGATTCATTCGCTGTTTTTTCAATGCGGGAAAAAAGAGTTGGGAACCTTTGTGCTGAATAGGAGTTGCAACGACTTAGATTTTCCTTAAGAAGGAGAGAAGTTATTTCTACGGGGCTTCTATGCGATTCATTCACATAGTGCACAGTTCTCTAGCGTATTGGTTGGATCAAACCTAGGCAAGATTCACACTAAGTTATTGACCTTGTGTAATTTTTTTATAAATGAGGTTAGTTATATCTCCACGGTAACCATATATGTGAGCTTTTTAAAACACAGAACAATGCCATATTTCCCCCTTTGAAAGCAGGATTATTTTGATAGTTATTAAGCTTTTAAATAATTTTTAAAAATCAACGCCGTTTGAAGTGGAAGTAATTAACTAAAATGTATTTATGATGTAAATTCAAAGTGAAATTTCAATTAGTATTGAAATTTATTGATTTCTCTTGCTCTTTTAAATTCTAATTGATCACTTAGGAGATAATTTAAATTGGAAGCTTCTTGTCTCCTCTTTATTTAATTTCCCATAAACTTTTTGTTTAAATTTGTTTTGTTCTTCGGCTCTCGGAGCAGTTGAAATGCGACGTCGACACGAATGTGGGAAGCAGAACTGTAATTAGTGAATTTCTGAAATTTGTAATTAAGTATACGCCAAGGTAACGAATATGTGTGCCCAGCTATTTAAAGATCATATTGTTATAATGTAGCAAATCTGAAATTCTAGTAGTAACTATATCCAACGGATCAAGAGGCACGTTGTTGTAAACACGTGTTTGTGTTAAAGAAATTGACGCTCAATCTGAATGGAAGTTAACAATTAGGCATAATTGTAGAGTGTCTCTTTGTTATCAGCAGGGAAATAAGAAGGAACTGGCTTTCAGTTGTCTCTGGAGGAAATATTGGAAAGAGTCGAGAGAGTGATTAACAGCGAAACGAAGTCTATAAACGGATACATAGCTCCCAAATCTTACCATCATTGATTCAAATAAATTAAATTTCATATCTTTGAAATTCATATTTTATACATTTTGATATCTTTTCCAATTCCGACTTTAAGTTTCACATTTCTCGCAATTTTCGTGTTAGTTAGGATCAGGATACGATGCAAAATTTTTGTCTTAGTGGTGCACATTTTTAATACGATTCCACTTACAATCAGCAGTTTGAATATTGGGATTTGATTTTAAAGGCCATAGCATTTACAATTTTAAAATATTTATCTAATTTTTATAGTGAAAATGATTTCTTTTTAGAAGAGAATCTAGCACAATAAATATAAAACCATGATTTATTACTCGAAATATTAAATTAAATCATCATTATGTATTCATATTAGCTTATTTAGATAATTTGATTTAAAATTTAATTTATTTTGACAATGCAAATAAGTTTTTTTCTTTCATTGTTTATTCACCTGTCATCATTCAATCATCCATTATTTTTTTCTAAAATCAGCGTCCATTTTCATTTTTACCAAAAAAAGTTGATATTTGATTTAATTTTTTGAAATGTCGCCCTCTGTCCATCATTTGCGAACCAGTCTGCCACAGTCAAAAGAGGAAAAGCATTTTCTGTGTTTGTTTTTAAATTTTTTGTTCTCTTTCTAAAAGACACTTATCTCTCCTCTTCTTGAAACACCTCAAAGGCGCGCTCATTTCGAGTTAACTCGGGGCTTTGCGTATTCTGGTGGAAGACATTCTGGTGGTGGAACACTTGTACACCACCCAACCATAACTTGGACAATTTTCATTTGATCTAATTTACGCCTATGACATTTTTCTTGAAAATCACTCTCCCCCACCCCACACGCGCATTTTTCGCCCTGTTGGTTAAATTAGCTTATCAACGCGATCTGCACTCCTTTAAAAGATGCTTGTAGAATGTTCACTACTTTGACCAATTCATCAAATAGGAATAGTGGGGAAGTAGGAAAGAGTGTAGAACGCTGCGAAATCGTCACGAGGGAGGTGTGCATTTCCAAGACCCGCTTTGGAAACAAGCCCGTGTTTCCAATCATTTAATTATTTATATAAAATGGCAGGCGTTTTGATGGTTATCATTAGGCCTTTTGTTGACTTCGGGCTTCACAGAGAAGAGGAGGAACATCAAAGTGACAAAAAGGCCGAGAGGGGGAAACAGAAGAGTGTTTCAAAATCGAAGGTAGAAAATTTAGAAAAAATGTGATGTGAATACTGTGGAAGTAGTCAAATATGACATACAGTGGGGTCAGAAGTCAACTGCCGGTTTATAGACCGTTTTGCTGTATGAGTATACGTTGCCCAGGGTGCACCACGTGGAGGTAAGTCTATCGCACACCCCTCTCATCATAATTTCGCTAAAAATATAGTGAATGATACCTCAAACTCTCTGTAATGATGACACTTGAATATTGGAATCTTCAAATTCATTTTTCTCTTAATTTCTCTTGGAAGGTCTCTATCTCTCAACGAAAGGGGGGAGTCTTTTACGAAATCCTTTTGTCAAAATAGACTGTTCACTACGATTGCCTATAGCATTTGAACACTTGATCAATATCAAGAGCAGTCTTTTATTCAACTTCCCTGTGGCAAAGGTTATTTGCCTTTTTAAGCAGCCTTGAATCGCACTTTACTACCATTTTACGTTCCAAAATTCGCATTTCTCTCTCTCTCTCTCCCTCTCTCTCTCTCTCTCTCTTCCTCTCTGCGTTTTGGGTGTCCGGATGTTTTCGTGCTCCTCATTTTCTGACTCATTGACCAGCTGATTTAGTTGACTATTTAATCATAACACAACTTGTTTCCTTTTCCCAATTGCCAACCCAAAAAGCAATGTCATTTGTCGTGGCATCTAATAATAATTGCACAGTTATGAAATAAGATAATTAATTACAATAGAAGTGTGAATCCATTAATCAAGCAGTGAAGGAACTCAATTCGCGTAAAATGACTGCATTCACTATGAATGCTGAGAATTGATGATAATAAAGCAGAGCATGTAGTTTATGGCTTGAAGCCATTTCAAATGCGACTATTCAGTTGTCATCCACAAAATTTGGCCTCACTCTTCTCAACCTAGTCACTCTTCTGTCCTTCAAAGAGGACGTGATATTTGTTTTCAAGTAGAGGTTTAAGACAGAAAGAAAAAATGTGCACGTGAACTTCAATAATAACCCTGGATAGTTTTGGAGTAATGAATTTTAAGCCCATTTCATCATATGGTTTCTCCCGATGATACTATGGAAATATGGATGAAAACAGGATTGGGTGAGTATGTTTTAGCGTAACGAGGAGATGCAGCGGTGTCAAATGAGGTGATGGGGAGGATATGATGCCCCTAATCTTCTAGCTGAAGGCCTGCCACTTTAGAAACAATCTAGGTGATCATTGTAAGAATTGTTGAACACCTAAACGGTAGGGTAGTGTATATATACAATGAACGGACAGCCCTGACATTATATTGACGTTGTTAGGTGGAACGTCGCATTGCTTCCCTTCAGTAAGATATTTTGCTCAGAAGTTCGTAGTTTTAGCACATGAAATGACTTACCTTCCGCAAACGTCTGTATAGTATATTAATTCATGACCTATCACCACCGTTCCATCCTTTTTCATCCACCCCCCACCCCCGCAAAAGAATTTTAAATAAAGAACTTTCGATAGTTTTGTTGTAGAAAAGTCTTTCACATGATCTTGGGGGCGGTACATTCCATCTTGAGACATCTGATAATAATTAGTACTAATAATAGTTTCAGCCAATAGTGTGTGCGTGGCATCCTATTGGGCCTTCAAGTTGTCTCCTTTCAGCTCTTGGTCATCTTGTTTCAGAAAGACACCTGTATCCCACCTACTTGGGAATTTCTCCAGGCCCAATTTGCTTGGTCTCCTGAGGTAGTTATCTGGACGGGAGCTGAAAGTATTCTAAATTTACCCCCCCCCCCTCCTGTTTCAACTGTATTTTATTTAATTAAACACTGAAAACAAATGACCAGTATCTTATCATTGGTACCGATCGAACACAGCATGATTTTCATATCTTTTGGCAATGCATATGTTGTATTTCCCACATTGGAATTGGGACTAATCCACATTCATTATGAACTGCCTTTTTTGTACACTAGGAAAATCTCGACAACAGTTCAAGGTGCTCCTGAGGAGAAAGGCGGTGGAGGTTTGATGGGTCTTATTCGTCGTGGAAGTTCTTACCTCGTACGTTCCTCTCCCCCACCTCCCTCCCACGTCCTCTACAACTGTTCAATCTTTAAGTTTTGCAGTTCACTGGTCTTTATTAATGCTCTTTTCATTCTCTCAACAGAAACGCAGAGAAGCGGAAGAGGAGCAGAAAAAACAGGAGGAGGAAAGAAAGGAGGATCTGGAATTAGCCAGAACCATGTTTGCCGCTGCTCGCAGAGAATCGTATTACGGTCATCGGAACGAATAATTTGTAAGCGCCATCTGCCCATTTCCTCATCTAACTCCTATGCCCACAACTCATTTGGGGGGAAACTGGCAGTTTCGCCTCTTTCCCCTCCTCCCTCCCCTCCCCTCCCCTCTTTTTCATGAAGCACTTATCAGCACAAAAGGCACAAAATGGGTTGTTAGTGTTGGCAGCTGAAAAATGTCTTTGCACATTTGCACTAGAGTGCACGACCAGAAAACGCACAGAAGTGCTATTCCTCACCCCCTCCCCCCACTAACTGCCAACTTTTTTCGGCTTTTCTAGGTCCTGTATTTATCACGACTCGGTGTTTCGGCGCCACTGTCACAATTTATTTGTGTGCTACTTCAACCACCAAAATCACCCCTATGTTATGTGAGCTTGCCTTCTACGCATCCCGCTTTCCTCCCTCCACCCCCGCTCCCAATTTACTTACTACTGAATTAGCCAGTTGTACAGAGCACAGTCTTCAATAGTACCGCCGTGTCTAGTAAAACTGAACACCTGAACGGCTGAATAAGAGTACCAGATCGCCATTGAATGAGTCATACTATTCTCCTCTTCGGTTGTGTTTGAAAGTGCCTCCTCTATCCTTCACTTGCTTATATGTACCGACTTATCATTAAACAGATTTTACACACACACACACACACTCTCTCTGACCGGCTTTTGCAACTTCTCCGGGGTGTTAAGAAGGGGGGGGGAGGGGGGGGGATCAATGATCTGTTCATCTATAAGTAGATGAAATTATGAAGAGAGGGGGGGGGGGAATCGGAGTGAATTGAAGTACTTTTACGATTTGCTGTTGTGGTATTTGGGGTGCAAGCCGAGAGAACAATTCAAGGGAAGCAGGGTGGCCGTCAACCATTCCAGACGCGGTTAACTAGATCACAAGTCAAATTGTCTAGACACCAACTCTCGGATTTGGTCTGTTTGCGTTGGGGGAGGTACTTGAGGTAGGCGCTTCCTAAAGCTAATTGAAACTGTTATAACACACGGTGTGTTTGGCCATACCCATTACAAGGTCGTGTGACCACCAATTCCATGCTTACAAACCCCCCACCCCCCACCCCCTCGCCAGAATGTCACTGGAGGAATTCAATTAGTTTTGCATAGGGTCAATTACAACCAACCAACTAGGTGGATGAATTAAATGACTTTGAAGATAAGGGAGGCTAGACAGTAGAGAAATGATTGAGCCCGTAAAGCTTAATCGATAACAAAAACACAACTAAACTGTTGCTATGCGGAAATAACAAGAGTGGTCTTTGCACCGAAAAACATTCATTTCCCTATTATGCAGTTGAATCTTGTGAATTTGCAATTCGGAACACCATACTCTAATATGAGTTAGCCGTTCTTGCTTGTCGCCACGCTATGAACGAAGCCCAATCAAAGTGAATTCGCTCAGGAGCCTATTAGCCGTATCTTTAAATTTGAGCTTCAACGTTAACTAGCGAACCAGGATCATCAAGTACCAAGAGGACAAACTAATACGGAAGCCACTCCGTGTCCTGCCGTTTGTAATGCATCTCTCCCTTTCTCATCCCTTTTTTAAACTATGGTTCAACTATTCGTTCAAATTTTCTCTTAATATTTATTTATTTATTTATTTCAAATGGCAGGTTTTATGGTAGTTATCATTTGCCCTCTAGCTGACTTCGGGCTTCATAGAGGGGAGGAGGAACAGAAGAGTGATTCACAGATGTAAAAGAGACAGGCGCAAATGTAAAGAAAAGGTAAAGTGAGTACTGGGGAGTGGTCGATTATGACACAGTGGGGTTATGGTGGTTTGAAGTTAGAGGTCAACTACCGGTTTATAGACTTGTTTGCAGTATGAGCATGCGTTGCCCAGTGTGCACCACTTGGAGGTAATTCTATCACACATCCCACTTTTTTCCTAACATAATAAACTTTGATTTTTCGCTAAGCCAAGGAGAGCGATGCTCTCGAAATCAGTGCTTTTGAAGATAAATCAAACCCCATTAATAAAAAAAATCGCTCCAATTGTCCCAACCCGGAGTATAAAGTCGACGTCAACAGAATTGTGTCTCCTTGAAGACCTCGAATACGCCAAGGACAATGGGGAGGGGGGTTGGCAAGTTTCAACTCAAGTTTCAAAGATCTTCCCATTTTACCTTCCCTAAAATTAATTTTAGCCCTGGGGTGTGCAATAGACTTACCTCCACGTGGTGCACCCTGGGCAACGTATACTCATACGGCAAAATGTCTATTAACTGGCAGTTGACCTCTGACTTCAAACAACCATCACCCCCCCCCCTGTACGTCATATTCGACCCCTACCACTACTCATCTTACCCTTTCTGAGCCTTTGTGTCTGTTTCTTTTACATCTTTGAAACACCCTTCTATCCCCCTCCTGAATTCTTCTCACTTTGTTGTTCCTCCTCCCCTCTGTGAAGCCCGAAGTCAACTAAAGGGCTAATGATAACTATCAAAACGCCTGCCATTTGTTATAAATAAATAAATAAATTTTAGCCCTTGAAGGCAATATTATGCATAGTTAAATGCTTATAGGAAGTAAATTTATATCCAACGGCCTGCGCGAGAAGGATTAAAGTCTCTTCTCGTTTTTTTTACATTTAAGATTTATGTCACAGTTAGCTCCTATTTGCGCGAAAGAAAATAAGTCATCTTGAAGGTAGTAATTACTTTTTACCTGGGAATACTAGTAGAACGCGAGCAAAGAAACCTGCCTATTGACCATGACAGGGAGGAAATCAGGAGATGGATAGAGACCAGCATTTTTTTGTCGTGGAAAGCAATCAAACCGATCGAGTCGAAATAGTGGAGAAAGAATTGGGGATAGAAAAACTCATAAATAGCATGGAAGTTGTGAGCGCACTCGTCGTAATCTCACTCTGTATGAACAGGCACATCAAGTATTCGATTTCTAAGCTTGGAAATGGGTACGTGAAGCATTTAGTGAGTAACCCATGTCTACAATTATTGGCTGAGTTGACAACCAATTAAACAAATTTCTTTGCTCAATAGAAAAACGGTCTTTTTAGCCACAGGTGGTCCCTATTCTTATATCTGAGATCTGCATGACTTTAGTTTTACAAAGTGGGATGTGCGATAGACTTACCTCCGCGGCAAATAAGTCTATAAACTGGCAGATGACTTCCCTATATTTGCGTTTGTCTCTTTTACATCTGTGAATAACTCTTCTGTTCCCCGCCTCTCCACTTTTGTGACTTTGATATACCTCCCTTCTGTGAAGCCCGAAGCCAACTACTAAAGGGCTAATGATACCCATCACAAAGCCTTCCATTTAATATAAACAAATTCTGCACTTCACTTCNATTATGCCCCCTTTTTCCAGAAGGGACAATTTTTTTCATTTTTCTGCAGATTTGTTCAGTCATTATCTACCAATCATGAAGTTCCACGTTAAAATTTATTGTTATTATTATTATTAAATATAAATAGTGAAAAATGTCATTTAAAGTCTTGGCGAGGACATCCGAACCAGTTCAAGAAATGTCTGGTGTGTGTGTGTTTAAAAGGGGGTGTTAAGTAACAGAATTAAAAGCTTTTTCGGTGTCTGCACCCTGAAATCGTCAGATTGTCTGTAGATTTATTTATTCTCCCGAATCTCTCGGGATTGCAATCACACGCATTGAAAAGGTGCGGCCAGTTGTCCAAATAAATCAACCTCGTGGACTAACAGATCAAGAAGTTTGCTTTTTGAACCACCAAGCACTGGACCACGCCATAAAGAAGAATAGATGCAAATCTTGATTCTTTTGGCGCTCATTAATTGTATTTATTTTTAATGTTATCATTATTATTATTATTTAATGTAACACGAGTTCTGGTGTTCTCTCACGAAACTGCTCCTAACCGTGGTAGACTATAAGTTATTTATTTCAAATGGCGGTCTTTATGATACTTATCATTTGCCCTTTAGCTGGCTTCGAGCTTCACAGAGGAGAAGGAACATCAAAGTGACAAAAAGTCGAGAGGGGCGGGGGACAGAATAATGATTCGCAGATGTAAAAGAGACAAAAGTAGAGAAAAAGGTGAGGTGAGGCGAGTACCGTGAAAGTGGTGGAATATGACACAGTCAGTCGGGTCATGGTAGTTTGAAATCAGAAGTCAACTGCCGGTTAAAGGACTTTTTCGCCGTATGAGTATACGTTGCCCAGGGTGTACCACTTGGAGGTAAGTCTATCGACCATGATAGTAATAGTATCTTTTCATGTCCTTTTCAATGTGGGGATATGAGAATTTGCATTTTCATGATTTATTCCATCCAATGAAATATATACTTGAAATGTCAAAGCCAATTGAATCTTCACTACTTGAACAATTGTTCATAGAAATTAAACAAACTTTGATTGTAGACAAAATATCCTCAACAGCAATATATGTAGGACTTATTTAACTGGGAAAAGTGAATTTCGTAAAGGGGCTTTGCAGAGAACAATATCGTTGATTATTAATTGAGATTAGCCCCAAATCTATCAACGGCTCAAAAAATAAACTATTTACCATTAGGTATGCTACGGCTATTTTAATTAACAACCATCAATGACTCTTAGGTATCCTGAGCATTCAAGATCCGCCAGTGTAATTCATTATCTGATGTGACTAGGCTGAGTCATTGCAAGTTTTTCATTATGGAGGGGGGGGGAGGGGGGGAGAGGGGGGGGGGCAAAAGCTGGAA